GTTCAAGTCGAACGATTCGTCATCGTTCTTCTTGAACGATAAAAAAATATCGTTCAAGTCAACTCGAGTCAACTCGAGTCAACTCGAATCAAGTCGAGTTTAAATCGAGTCGAGTTAAATATTTAACTTGACTCAAATTTGGCTTGACTCGCAAATCATCGAGTCAAAAAAACACAAACTTGACTTGATTTGAACTCGACTCAGCTTATTTGACTCGTAAGTTAACTTGACTTGTCCAGAACTCTACTTCCTTCTTCATTATCAATTTGTAAAAGTAAATTAGTTCTGATATACCAACTATCTAATAATTTATGCAAGTTTGCATCATGTGCAATATTGGTAAATAAATCATTGACTTTATCGTATCTTATATCAGATCTACTATTCAATAAGTATCTTAAAGTCTGAAGAGTATTATCACATTTTGAAAGATCCATCAAAATATCTTTTTTATTTGTATATAAGATGACTCTTTTATATAATCCATGGACTGTCTCTTTTAATGAAACTAAAGTATTAACCAATATTTCAAAATTGATTATGATTTCAGATAAATGTCGAAGGATATAAAGGTTTAGTAAGCTTGAAAATATTTCTCAGAAAATCTATTAAATAAACACAATCCAATTTGTAAATAAAAAAATTATTTCTATTGGGTAATGGCTAATCTTATGTTAAATTATCTAAATAATAAAAGTATCAATTATAATTCAATTAATATTAAATGTTGAATTTTTTACCTTTAATAATGCCTCTGTAACTTATTCAAGTACCTTTCTCAAATGAATATAATTATTATATACATATGGTGATTTGAATATAGCTTTACAAGCATTAGCCATCTTTACCCAATAACTCACAATAATACTTAAAATTTGTATTCAGTTAACTAAAGAATATTCATTTTTTTTTCTATTGATAGTTTCAGTTTTATAATATTTATAATTAATAGTACAAGTTAAGATATAAGGCATTATCATAGTAAGGCGTAATGAATCATTCATCCAATAACTATCTCAGTAGGTGATTGGGTTTTGTAATCTTTTTCAAATAGAAGGTATCTCAAACACTCACCATATTTTTATAAACTCTTTATGTTCTTCATTGTTCATTAACTTAAATGTCTTATCAAAAAGACGGCATACTAAATCTGCCAAATAATAATAAAGATCTTGAGGTATCTGTATATATTGATTATGAATAGATGATCAAGGATATTTTTTTTAACACAAAGCTCATATCATTTTGCTACATTTTCTTTAGCGAATTTTGTAAGTACTTATTTGATTTCTTGAAATGAAAATCTGCAATATGACAGTATCTACCATTTGCTTGAATATCAAAATACAGATCATTAAGTATTTTTTGAGTTACTTCACATGAACGACATCCACAATTTGCATTGTGCTGCCAAACTTCTACTATATAATTGCCTTATGGTAAATCGGCAATACACATATTGAGACCTTTAGAAACTAAAACTCTTTTACTAGTACAATTAGTCATAATATTCTATCTTGTAATTTTTGCATTTGTTGAATAAATGGCTTAATAAAATCTACAAATTCTGCACCAAATGGGATCAAGCTGACTAAAAAATGATTTTTGAGACATTGTCTTATCAAAAGTGATATGTTTTCAAATTGTACATAAAGTCCGCTAAGCTTATAATATGCTTTGCCAAATGCATCAAAGTCATCATAATATAAATCAATAAAGAATTTAAATGTTATAAATTATATGAAAGAGGTGGCCTTTGAAAATTATACTGATATGGTAATTTATGTCATTGATGTATTTGCCTAATTTTTGATCGATTATTATACATATACAGAATTTCTCTAATATGATAATCATAATTTGCAGGTTCCAGTAAATCTTTAAGCCATATCTTAACATGACAAATTATATCTTTTGTATAAATCATTTTCTGATTCTTAGTTAACTAGACAGTATTGTTTCTTTATTAAATTAAACGATTAAATAATCTAATATTATTTAAAAGTTCTGCATAATACATGATTTTTTGAATATACACTAACTTTTTTTCACTGTTCTCATTTAGTGTTATAATACTATTAATCTGCCCTAACTGCTGAATTACAGTTATTTCATTCTGAATATTATAGAGTACAAAGTCTTCAGCTTGATAAAATACTAAAAAATTGTATCATAAAATAGTTTAGAAAATAAATGATTATAACATTATAAAATCGTAAATATTACTATCATTGATCATAAGTGATATTTTGTCAAATAGTAGTGATTCTTTCCATATTTGTTCATGCCATAACTCTAACCTTTCTAAAGCTTCAACGCTAAGACTAAAGTATAATTTTAGATAAATCGATAGATTGTTAAAAATGCGTTGAATGTGATCAATAATAGAAAATATATAACCTTCTTTAAAAGAAGCAGATGTAGATAGGTATCCATCAAATTAATATTAACGTTATGACTATTTAAAACTATCAATAGAAGATCATGTTATATTTATTTTAATATTGTAATACTGAGAGGTAGATCAGATATATGAAAGTCTGGATATTATAAATTTTTACTAAATCCTAGTAAGTATGAGATCCTATTAGTTAACTATTAGTTAATTGTTAAAGAATACAAAAAAAAATCTACTTGTTATTACCTATCATATGTTTTATATACCAGATAAACATCAACATCATGAATTTATTTGAAAAGTAAAGTCTAGCTTCACTGTGATAAGATGATGTATTTTAAAATCTATCATATTGATTTTTAAATATAAAAGATATATCTTCATCACTATTATCATCACATTCATCATATTCCTGAAAGCAGTTTCCTTGATCATCATCATTATCATCACATTCACCTGACCCTTGAGAATAGGTTTCTTGATCATTATTATCTGACTCATAAAAATAAAATTCTCAATTATCATTATCATAGCATTCATCTGATTTATAAAAATAAGTTTCTTAATCATCACTAATATTATTATTATTTTCATGGTCATCAAAATGATTCTCTTGTTCATTTTTGTTAAAAATAATTTTATTTATGAATGAATCATCATCTTGAGCAATATTTTGTATACTATCAACAGTTATAATGGTATTTTTCCTGTATTGTGGATATTTTAATGTATTAGTATTAATTTTTAGAATCAAATCATTATTTATAGAATTAATTTGCTTAGGTCTTTGGTATAAAGAAGCTGTATTAGTATTATATTCTACAAAAGACTGGTGAACGATTTTTTGTAATGTTTCAGGCGAAACTGAAACCTATGGGCAGGTAAAACCTCTGAAACTTAGCGAAACCAGTTTTATTACAATTAGAAATTTTAAAACCAGCGAAATCTCTGAAATTGACCAAACTTCTGAAACTTCTGAAACTTATAAATGAATTTGATTGGCTAAATTTCTAATATATATTAGTGACACATTAATGTGTATTTATTTGTTACATTTTTTTTATAATACTTTTTTAACACTTTTGTTTATTACATTTCTAATGTCTGAACAGGAGGTTGTTTTTTTAGATACTTTACCAAAAAATTTAGGTGGTAAATCAAAATCAATTGTATGGGATACTTATGTTAAGCAAGGTAAAAAAATATCAAAGGGACATTATAAAACTACTTGTTTATATTGTAATACCTTTTGGCATAAAGGTTCACCCTAGAAAATAGAAGCACATTTAGCTAATGAATGCTTAAAAGTTCCAATAGAAATAAAACAGTTATTTTTAAATCAGCTTACTTCAAAAGCTGAAAATACTTCAAATAATTCTTAACAAAAATCAAATCAAAAATGAAAATTTAATGATATATCAGACGATCAATCAAAGATTACAGACTTTCATAAAAGTTTAAAACTTTCTCAAGAAAGAATTTATGGAATTAATCGGGCATATGTAAAGGCTTTTGTCATATGTGATATACCTTGGCATGTAATCAAAAATCCATTCTTTATAAAATTTTTGAAAACTTTACATTTAGGATATACTCCTCCTTCTAAAGAAACACTTTTTAATCATCTTCTTGCACAAGAAACAGCAATTATAAATCGACAAATTATTCAGGAATTAGAAAATTCTACAAATCTAATATTATGTAAGTAAAAAAATAAAATTTTAATTAATTAATAATTTTTTTTAACATTGTTATTTTTTTTTTTAAAAACTAAAAGCATATGACAGTTGAATTAATAATGCAAATAAATCTATTTAGAATTTTCTTATTCATATATTTAACCATAAAGAATATTTATGGTGTTTAAAAAATTTATCAAGTAAGAGTCATACTGGTTCTTTTTTGGCAAAAGAAATAGAAGAAGTGATTGAACAAATTGGTACAGAAAAATTTACGGCAGTTGTTTTAGATGCAGGAGCAAATATTCGAAATGCTTGTCAAATAGTTACAGAAAAATATCCTAATATTCTTAATATACGTTGTATTGCTCATGCAATTAACTTAATTTCTAAAGATATTTGTAGTACTTCTTTTGCAAACTGAATTTTAACTAAATGTAATACTATTGTGACTTTTTTTAAAAAAAGTCATCAAGGAGGTAATGATTT